TTTTGATTTGTTTCTTTTACTTACAAGTATGTTGCGTTTATAAAGCAAAATGTTTTTTACTTTCCTTTATTTGCTTCGTCTTTCGTTCTCTATTCATACATTTTTTGATAATGAATATAAAATTAATGATTTATTTTCCCTTGTAATGATATCGAAATATTCCACGACATACAATTCATGAGTAAAACGAAAGGGAAACCGTATGAATAATTACAATTTATTTTGAAAATAATTGGTTTAATGGTAATGTTAATAATAGCCGTTTCCCTACAAAGAAACATTTGGCCAAGTAGCCAGTAATGATTTCGGTTAAATTTTATAAAATCTTTCTCTTAAAATATTTTTTCAGGAAAATAGGTTTCTCAAGTCCAGTAGCTGTTATTGGTCTTTTCATTACCGATGGGATTTTAATTCCTATCTTTTTATTTGAAGTAGTGTGGAATGTTAACATCTTGATTACATGATCGAGTTGGCTATCCGTTTTTGTGGTGGATGCTATTGTTAATTCTCAAGTGATGTGGTGTCTGTTATTTGGTACAGATCTTTGCGTCATTTCGCAATATTCAAAAAAGGATGATCTTTGCCAAAACTCTCAGGCTTCACTCGCTCAAAACCATTTTTAACCACTGATCTTAGAAAGCGGTTGTATACAGCTGACAGTTTAGATACTTCTGAATAAGTTTGGTGCATTGCACAACATCCATATGAAAGTCTCGATCTGGCGAGGCTATTTAAGAACATGATTCAAGTTTTCAGTTTAATGTTTTGGTTTTGTAGCAATTTGTGGTGTTGGGCAAAGCTACCGCTGTTCAATTTCCTTTTCTCCTATACTAAATTTGTTATGATTCATCCATATGCAGAGTTTAGTATTGGTTAATGATAATAATAGCAGCTTCTTTTTTATATGAAAACATTTGAGATTTAATTACTGAGTAACCAGTGCTACTGTCAACTGAAATATATAAAATCTTTCTATTAAAACAATTTTTCATGAAAATAGGTTTCTAAAGTTCACTAACTTTTATCACTATTTCTGTTATTGATGGAGGTTTCATCCCTAAACTTTTTAACGTAATATAGAAAACTCACATCTTGATTAAGTTGTAGGAAATTTTGTCGTCCAAATTTTGTTATATTCAAAATCCGAACGTCCGTGTTCTAAACAATAAAAAACAAAAATAAAGAAAACATGGTCTCATGCCTGTTATATAAATCATTTATATTTACAAACATATGTGCATGAATTCAAAAGACTTAAAAAGTATTAAAAATAATCTTTAGTTGAGTTAAAATCTTTCGCAGAAAGAAAAAAAAAACTTTGGTATACACAAAACTTTTAAACAGTTATTCCAAAGAAAAAAAAAATCTGTAATTGAAAAAAGACTTTAATCGTTAGCGAAGATTCACTGACCGTCTTTGTTGTTGCTGGAGATGATTCGTTTGAAGTCGCCGACTGGCCGGTCATGCTGTTGTTGTAGCTGATTCGTTTGAAATCGCCAACAAATTTCTTTCAACACGCACTGGGAAGAAGGGAGATAGTCGTATTTCTGCTCTCTGGAAGTCAAAATCTGAAAATAGGCTCGAGAAAAATAAGGTTTTAGTTTTCTCTGATCGGTCAAATATTTCACATAGTGATGTTAATTTCTAAACAATAGTCATTTTGATTTACACAGTGTGTGCTGTATTGTGGGATCTTTATTTTTGGCATGTTTGTAATATTTTGTATTATTGGGTACAAAATGAAGTTTGGGTATGTTTTAATATGGTATGTGCGTGGGTATGTTATTGTGTTGGAAAAAGAGTTTATTTCTTATAGTCATTTTTTCGTGTTACATGTGCTATCCATTTTAGTTGTTGCTGCTTTTGGAAATCTTCAAACGATATGGCCATTGTTATTTGGTACATTTCTTTATTTGTGATTCTGCATCGCCGATCGACGTGATTCGACGAAGTACAGTCCCTCCCACTTATGACACACAGGGCTAATCCAAGTCATTTTTATTAATTGATGTGAGAAAACGGTTGTATATAGATGATAGTTTAGACGTTTGTAAACGAGTTGAACGCAGCCCATGACATCGACATGAGAGTCAAGATCTGACAAGGCTGTTTAAGAACATGATTTCAGTTCTTAGATTAATGTTTGGTTTTGTAGCAAATTGCTGTATTAGGCGAAATCTACCCTTAACTACTTCTATTCTATCTACAATTTCCTTATCTCCTATACTTTCAAATACATTGAATAGGTTCAATTAATTAATTTAAAAGATATTCGAGACTTTGAATTATGTTATTGCCTGTCCTGATCTCTAATATTAAATTATTTGTTATAAAAGACGTTATTCCAATAATACAGGTTGACGCACCAAATATAATATAAACGGGCTGTGCAGTTGCTAGTGAGAATCTGTTGTCGTTGCCCTAAAGCATGCTGAACTTCGGCGCCCTTACAAGTATAATCTTTGAGAAATTTTACAAGGAGAAAGACTAAAAATGTAGAACAATGAGTTTATTACAATATACAACTTAATACAAGCTAAAGAAATCATTCATTATCCAACCTAAAACATTTCTTTTCTATCCTTTAGATCTGCAAATATTTTCATGGCACTTTCTATTCCTATCTTCTTTACAAGATCATTTTCTATTGACAAAATAGCCAAAGCATTTAATCTGTCTTGAGTCATGGACGACCGCAAGTATCTCCATCTATAAAAGGCAGGATGTGTGTGTGTGTGTGTAACGAATGCGCGGCCGCAATTTTCGATGGATTCGCACCAAAATTTACATGTACATGCTCCAAATTAGTGGAAAGGCCAACATCGACTTTGCATTTCCCAACTCCCATCGATAGTGGAAATAATCGAATTTTTCATGCTTCTACGGCAGTTTTCACATTAGTTTGCGGCAATTTAGTACTGGCCAGAGTGAGAGCCAATAGCTGACTGCCACGAATAGGCAGGAAGATACTATTGGCCAGCGTGAGAGCCAACAGCTGACTGACACGAATGTTAACTAGCATGCTAGCATGCAAAAAAAAAAAAAAAATCGATAGCTGCATTCGTCACAAGTGGGGAAAATTTAAATCTGCATAGCACTTTACTCCAATTGGCTCATTCGCTTGCTTAAACTCAACGTTGATTCTGATTCCGCAGAACTGGGTTGGGTGTGAAAAAGTATTTGTTGTTAACATTCTTTTTTCATTCAGTTTTTCCAGTTACGAGTTCATTTTTAAAGCTGATCGTTTTGCGTTCATTTTGTTTAGTTCTTTTTTCGTAACAGATTTAATGTTTAGTTTAGAGCTTAGAAAAAATTCGCAATGTGAGATAGGCAAGAAGTAAGGTATGTAACAACATCAGTACGGAAGAGGGCACTCCTTTAAAGGCAAGGAAGGGCCAAAATATTTTAAGTCAAGTGATAGCAATTGCTGTATGAGTCGTACGATTTTGAATCAAGCACAGGCAACGCCGGTCCATGCTGCTAGTGTTTTTATAAGCTTTAGTTTTGGAAGATTCCAAACATATGACATGGCGGCATGCTAGCGCCCTCGGTCTTGATGGCGCCCTGGACGACTGGCGGAGTTTCCAGTATTTGAACCGGCTTTATATGTGGTTAGCAGTATGATGTGATGGAATAACCTGCCACCTCCATGAGTGGCTGCACTATAGGTGGTAACCACCTATTAGTATCCGTTAGGACAGCGGACAGCAGATTCGATCTGGAATCTGCGACACTAGCGCATAACTAATACTTCCTTGCTTGTTGTTTCTACAATAAACCTGTTACTATTTATCCACCGTATTTGTCCATTCCATATTTCTATTGGCACGGAATATAACACAGTGTAGTATTGCAGTGTAGTAAATTCGATCCATATTTGCGCCCTATAACTCGTATTGGTGGAATTGTCACATAACCGTTTAGTAACATCGTATCAAAAAGTTGAAAATATGTTAAGAGCCGTGATATCGCATACAAAACGATATGGCCATTGTTATTTGGTACATTTCTTTATTTGACATTCTGCATCGCCAGTCGACGTGATTCGACGAAGTACAGTCCCTCCCACTTATGACACACAGGGCTAATTCGCTCGAAGCCATTTTCAATACTTGAAAACGAAATTATAAAATAATAAACTTAAACAAGTAATTTTGGGGTAGAGTCATTTGCTTAAACGATTTTGGTGTTTAGTAAAATCTAATGAAATTTCACTGACTTCAGGCGAGAATCATTTTGATTAATATTACCGAAATATACAGAGTGATGCAAAAGTCGGTATCAAGTAAGTATTATACAAGTATAATAGGAGGCATGGTGAAGTAATGGATAGCAGCTCGGATTGAGAAATCAGAGAGCCGAGTTCGAATTCCAGTCGAATCCATTACATTCACTTAGTGCTAATACTTACGTGAAAGGTAATAATCCTCTTCTTCTCCCTCCAGCTATGGGTAAATAGCAGGACAGACCGGGTTCTATAGCCTTGGATGAGACTGGTTTACCGCAGAAAGAAATGGCAACCTACTACGGGAAAAATCTGCCTTGTCAGTCATGTATCGAAAGATACATGATCGCCTAAGCGTGTATCACGCATGGCATATAACTGACTGACTAGTATTATAATAGTGGTTTTAGGATTCATTTAATACTAGAATTTATTTAATTCATTAAAATCATTTTGAATATTTTTATTTTATAATTTTAATTATAGTTTTTATGCTTTAATAAATAATAATAATAAATGTTTTGCAGGTAACTAGAAGTATGCGAATAACAGGGCAGTTTTAAAATTTGAGGGATTGATATGTTTATTAGTGATATGTTATTATTGATATGTTCAAATCATTAATAAAACAAGTTTTGTGCGTACATTTCGTTTTTCATTACTGTATACCTACTTTCACACACATCCCTGTATTTCATTTACTGTTCAGATGCAATAAAATCCGATAGTAAAATATCATTTTTCTTTTTAATTTTGCAGCCATTATCCGAACAAAATGAAATCATTCGTGCTTTTTGCCCTCACGCTGTGCGTGGCTCACGGCGAAAGTAAGTAAGATTTAATTTTTTTGAGGTTGGGGATTGTGGAAACTTTATACAAATCTGAGTTCAATTCAAAATTAACATCTAAAGCATTCTTTCGCGATAGATTTTGATACTTCATATCTGCAAATTCCTTTCGTTCCGCCAGTGTGTTGGAAACGCCAAAGAGGAAAGTCAGGCCTATAAAATGAATGAACGATTTCATTCTTAAACTTCTAAAGTCTCGAATCGCTCTCTCGAGGGAAAAGCGTTTTCTTGAATCTTAAAATCGTTCGCTTCTACAATGCATTTTAAAAGTGTTACAATGCTTTTTAAAAGTGTTAATCACTTTAAAATTACTTAATGTGATTACTTTCTTTTAAAAAAAATCATTTTCTTCTTTCTACTCTCTTTTTAAGATTTTATTTCTTTCTTCTATCGAATCATCATTTTCTTTCTTTTTCTTTCTTTTTTTGTTCTTTGCATTTTATTTTTTTATTTCTTTCTTTTACCCCCTATCAAATAACATTTTTTTCCTTTCCTTTTGTCTTTCTTGTTTCTTTCCTTTCCTTTTTTCTTTCCCTATTTTGTTTGCTTGTTCTTTCTTTCTTTCTTTCTTTCTTTCTTTCTTCTCGATCAATTATTATTTTTTTTTCTTTCTTTTATTCTCTATTCTCCATTTTTTCTTTTTTTTCAGTATTTTCTTTCTTCTTCTCTCTCCATGGACATCTCCATTTTCTTTCTTTCATTCTTTTTTTCTTTTCCTCTCTATCAAATCACTATTTTTCTTACTCTTTTTCCTGCTTATGAAATTTCGATTGTATTTCTTCATTTCCTTCGTTTCCTCTCGATCAGTCACTATTTTCTTTTTCGTTCATTCTTTCTTTGTTTTCGATCAATTACTATTTTCTTTCTTCTTTCTCTTTTTCTTTTTCTGTCGACGAAATCTCCATTCTCTTTCTTTCTTTCTTTCTTTCTTTCTTTCTTAGCTTTTTCTTTTATCTTCTTGAATCATACTTATTTTACCTACTGATTTTTTTCGGATCTGAATTCAAATGTTTGAATTTGGATTGCGCCTGATTTAATCCCCAAGCTCGTATATCTTTTCCCATTCAAAATAAAGGATTCTAATTATTGTGTCTTTTACTTCCAGTGAGTCGGAAACTATTCACGGAAAGAGGCCAGCGTCCCAAATCAAAACTTGACCAAGGAAGCCACCATGGGCGCGGGTTCGCCAGTACTGGAAGATCGAATCGACAGTTTTTCCGTAAGAAATTTGGCCACCAAAAAGCTATTCCAGAATCGAAACCGTCCAGTCGAAACGTTCGATCAGTTGTCGTCAAAGAACACAGTTCCGGATACGGAGAGTATGTCGCGGGAAACAGTATTGGCCTTGACCTCGATTTCAGCTCTGGATACAGTTCCGGTTCCGGGTCTGGATCGTTCTTTTCCATGTCATTTTGGTTAAACGATGGAATTGAAACTGTAGAAACACCAACAAAGGAGAAAAGTAAAAAAATGAACAACTCTCCTGCGAAATCTCCGACTCACGCTGATAGATATAACAAAAGAAGCAGTCGAGGTTCGAATCCGGATTTCGTTCGGAAGGAAAAAGTTGAATCACGTAAGTCAAACGCAGGAATAATCAGCGTTCTGACACCGCGCAAACATCAAGTTAAGAGATCTATCTTCGATTTTTTCACTGGATCTGGAGACACCAGCAGCAGTAGCGGTTATAGTAGCGATGAAAGAGATGATATTCTCAGTGATGTTCAAGAAGGCTCCGGCTCTGTTGTCCCTGGAGTCGTCACAAATCAAAAAGTTAAACATTTTCAGTACGCACTGGGCCACAGCGAATCAATGGGAATATCAACCGGAAGTGGCAGTATCGCGTGTATTGGGAATGTTCACTGCGACCAAGGTAGTGGAAGTATTGAAATACAGGATGCACAAATGCCCGCCATGGAGAAGCCTACGAATTTGGGCTCTGAGGAACAAATCCATAGCAGTGGAATGTATGCAGACGACCACCAACCATGAACAACGCAATAAGACTCGTTATATTTTATGTTATTTTGAATATATTTTAAAAGTTTTTTTGTTTTTTTTTCCACTAATAAATCGTATTGATAAGAACATTCAGTTACTTATACAAAATAACAGACATATGATAATTTTATTTTTTTATTCTTTAAATTCTTTTATTTTAAAAATATTCTTAAATGTCATTTTAAAAAAAAAAACTTATATATTGTACTTAACTCTGTTATTTTTTATTTTAAATTTTAACCTTTAAAATTAAATCTTGATTTTTTTAAAGTTTAACTTAACAACGCAGACGTAAGAATAATTTACACTGAAATTACTCACAGTTTAATCAAAATACCGTGAACGTGCCTAAATATAAATTCTCTTTGTATATTTAGCAATTTTAATAGTTCATAATTTAGCCATTTATTATTGGGTTAGGGACCAACTCTTTTTTATGCAGGTTTATACATTTTTTATAATGAATAGTAATCAGGTAATCATTCTATGATATCTCATATATACGAAGTCTGTCCAAAAAGTATCCAACCATTTTATATTAACAAAAAAAAAAAAAAAAAAAAACCTAAGTCACTAGCACATTAGTCCTCTTCAAAGTACCCCCTGGAGATCTCACAGACTTATTTCAGCGTCCATTCCACTTTTCTAAACAAAGTCATTTTTCTGAATCGCCATCAGCTGCCCTTTTTCTGCATTCTCCCTAATATCGTCCACGGCGTTTCAGCATCAATTTGGAAAAGTCTAGAAGTCGCAGGGAGCCGAAACCCAGAATGTAGTGGGGTGCTAACAAGCCTGAGTGATACGATGTTTTGCCAAAAAAAACAAAAAGGTTCCAGCACGAGACGCGAAAGATCTACTTGAATCTGTTCACTGTGAACGCGACGGTCACAAAACGCACAAGCTCGCTCAATGGCGTCTCACTGTTGACTCAGTAAACCCACCGGGGAATGTCTGTTCACGCATGCGTAATAAATTCCTTCGTTTTGGTCACCAAGGAAGGGTGCGGCTGAGTCTCGTGATATTCAAAATGGCTGGAAACTGTCCGGACAGACCCTGCACAGACAGACACACACACGTGCGTGCGTGTGCACATACACTCACATATAGAAGAATAAGATATATAAAAAAATTCTATATATCAGACTAATAGTGGATAATTGAATGATAAAATGGAAAAGTCCAAAGTTAGGCGTTTCGTCCTTTGAATAATAACACGATAATAAAGGGTGTTTCAATAATTTGGACCGATTTTAAATGTGAATTAAGTTTAAGCGTTTAATGATTTTTTTTCCTTTTTCTTTCAAATTTAACAACTTAAGTCTTTGGCAATTTCAAGCATGGAAAGATTAACAATCAACCAACGTGTTAAAGTTTAAGACAGAAAATGGAAAAATTGTTCGTAAATTCAAACACACTGCGTCGGTGGAAGATGTGAAAACATAATTGCGTGCTCGTTTACGCCGTTCATCTGAAAACATTGCTGCAGTGCACGAGAATGTAGCCGAAAAATCCAGACCCCTCTATTCGCAGGAATTGAACCTCTCCACAACAACGTTACATCATTTCCAATTGCACTTTCAGTTGGTCGATTATGTTGACCAAAAAATCGCGAAGCGCGCAAAATGCATTTTCATAATAGGCTTCGAAAACTTTAACACGTTATTTGATTGTTAATCTTTCCATGGTTGAAATTACCAAAGACTTAAAATGTTAAATCTGAAAGAAAAAGAAAAACAAAATTAGACGCTTAAACTTAATTCACATTTAAAATCGGCTCAAGTTATCGGAACACCCTTTACATACAAGAAACATACGACATACATTGACCAAACAGTCAACGTTACTGTCTGTTGAAATTTATAATTTTTTTCTCTTAAAACCAAAAATCCAGACCCCTCCATTCGTCATCGCGCGCTGGAATTGAACCTCTCCACAACAACGTTACATCGTTTCCAATTCCACTCTCAGTTGGTTGATTATGTTGACCAAAAAATCGCGACGTGCGTGAAATGCATTTCTGGTTGAACGTCCATTTTGTAATAGGCTTCGATAACTTTAACACGTTTAATTGTTAATCTTTCCATGGTAGAAATTGCCAAAGACTTAAGTTGATAAATCTGAAAAAAAAGGATAATCATTAGACACTTAAACTCCATTCACATTTAAAATCGGTTCAAATTATTGGAACACCCTTTACATACAAGAAATATACGACATACATTGACCAAACAGTCTTTCTCTTAAAACCGATTTTCAAGAGAATAGGCTTCCGAAGTTCACGTGTTCTAACTCTTATTCTCGTGTTCTAACTCTTATAGCCATTCTTGTGTTTTAACACTTATAGTCATTCTCGTGTTTGAACTGTTAGAACCATTCTCATGTTCTAACTGATATAGGCATTCTTGTGTTCTAACTGATATAGGCATTCTTGTGTTCTAACTGTTACAGCCATTCTCCAAAGCTTTTATTTTTTCCTAATATGGAAAGCCAACATCTTGATTACATCATTTTCGCTTCTAGTTATTCATGCTAACTTATTTTAGTTTTTGCAGCTGTTTGATGTCCTCAAGTGATGTGATTTTTGTTATATGGTAAAGCTCTTTGTGATTCTGTAGCGCCAGTTTATAAGATCTGGTAAAGGATTGTCTTGTCTTATTTAAGGCTTAAAGTGTTCATTCGCTTGAAGACGTTTTTAATCATAGATTTGAGAAAATGGTTGTATATAGCTGATAGTTTCTGAACAATTTGTAGGTCATGAAAGACATCCATACGAGGGTCTAGAAAAGGCTATTTATGAATATGACTTGAAAAGACTTCTGAAGACAATTTTTTCTATCGATGGAATCATATATATGTAAGTCGGAGGGGGCGAAAACAACAAGCGTCGCCTATAATATTATTCAAAATTTAAATTGAATGAGGCTGTATCTTCAGCGTCCTCTCGATATAACAGATATTTGTTGTATTTCGTTCTCTTCCACTGCATATATAAAATTCCGTTGCTAAAAATGCTATTTAGTCTGAAGAGCTTTCGAAAGACAAAACGCATGATATAGAAGCTTTTTCCATTTTTTTTCTCATTCAATCACATCAATCACATCCACACCTACACACTCATACTCCCATATACATAAAATTAACATTGCTTTTCTCAAAAAGGATGGTCAATATATGTTTGTTTCCGCTTAAAACATGAAATCGGCAGAATGTCTGTATGCAATACACTAAATATCTTGGCAAAATCTCGTGGCAAAGGTATGAAGAGAAAAATTGTTCAAAGTAAAAGTCACAACTTATAAAGAAATGAAATAATTGGTTAGCTATATTTTCATCACTTATATAACTGATTTTGTTTTGGGAATTACGTAAGTTGTTTGTCTAACCCTCTTCATATATATTCATATATATATATATATATATATATATATATATATATATATATATATATATATATATATTCACTCTTGATGAAAAGCTAACATCAAAAATATTCACCTAGAACTTTCGTTGGTTCTTAATTAAACGTGCATAAATAAAAAATTTCTACTGAAATTTACTCAATTCTAATAACACGGACAAGGAATTGCGTGCGAAACTGTCGGGTTAACCCCTCCTAATTTTCGAAACAGCTTCTAGGGGACGCTCTCCGGACTATAAATACTCTTCAATATTTTTTCTCAATCTCTTCTTACCTTATCCGCTTATTTGTCAACACGTGTTTTTATTGTTTATATTATTGTCGTACGTTTTAACGCTACAAGTTCCAGGTGGCAAAACTCATCGAAAGATAAATTGTAATAGCAACAGAAGAATTACGTGAACTCCAGATTGAATTCAACAAAACCGACGACAAGATACAAAGTAAAATACAAAAAAATATGAGAAACATCAAAAAAAAATAATGAATAAAACATAATCAACAAGGGACTTTTTGTTAGTTTTTAATCAAATATGCAAAAAATGCTGCCCCCCATATATATATATATATATATATATATATATATATATATATATATATGTGTGTGTGTGTGTGTGTGTGTGTGTGTGTATGCGGTGTTTCTATTATTCTTAAAAGAGTCAAATGTATATTTTTACAAAACATACCATGTCTTAACAGTTATAAATATTGACTGAAAAGTAAAATTGACGAATTATTCTCTTTAGAAATTTATTCACAAGGAACCTTTCTGATAGAAATTACTTCTACAAACAAAATAAAAGATTTTCTTCCGTTAGTTGTTAATTTCTTTTATTGTATTTTTTTCAAAATAAACTTCACCGTATATTATTAATAATTCTTATTATTATTAATAGTGCTATTATTAGTGTATTGTTAAGGAGGAGGCACGGTGGATTTATGGATAGCGGCTCGGATTGAGGAATCGAAGAGCTGAGTTCGAATTCCAGTCTAATCCATTACCTTCACTTACGTGCTAATACCCTTGGGAAAGGTATGAATCATCTTCTTCTGCCTACAGCTATGGGTAAATAGCAGGAGAGATCGAGTTCTATAGCTTTGGTAGCAACTGGTCTACCGCAGAGAGAAATGGCAACCTACTGCGGGGAAAAATCTACCTCATCAGTCATGTATTGAAAGATACATGATCACCTAAGTGTGTATCACGCATGACACATAACTGACTGATTAATAATTTTTATTAGTAATTCTTATTAGTGCTATTATTAGTGTATTATTAATAATTCGTAATAGTACTATTGTTAACAGTGCTATTATTAGTGCTATTCGGATTAAAATTTCTATTTTTAACAATAGTTCACTCGTGCAAAGGACTCTTAAAAATGTGAAAGAAAGCCAGAAAATTCTTACGTTGATGGAAAAGGTTTGCTGAAATAGTATCGCAGAAAGTTTTAGAAGATACAAGAAGCAAAAGTTATACAAAGACTTCAATTCCGAAGTTAAGCATCTCGTGTCCAGATTCGTCATAAGGAAATACCAATTTGCCGAAAATTAAAAAAAATATAACTCCGCA